AACTGGGCTAGACTCCAGCACCCACTGGAGTTTGTGAGAACCAGGATGGGTGTATTATGGGCTAGGCTAGGTCTCTGTCCCTTCTGAGCCATGTGTGAGTTGTGTCTTGGTATGGACCAGGCTTAGTTGGGCTGTAGCATCCAACAGTAAGGACTGGAATGGGTGAGGGCCAGTCAGGAAAGGCCACTGCTCTAGCTAGGACATGAGGTGGACAAGTAAGGCTGGCCCATGGCCCACCAGTGTGAGTGAGATCTGGTATTAGGAGAGGTTCTAATGGAGGGGCTTGGCAACTCCTCTAAAGGGACACAGCTCCTGCAGGTGAGCACAAGAACCAAGAGAGAGAGCAGCTCAGACCAGGCCAGGATACAGTACCCATGGGCTTACCTTTGGCTCAGGTCTGGGGCAAGCCAGGCTGGACCAGTTCATATCAGTCACTGGCAAATTTGAGTGCCAGAATGGTGTGTGGATCATGCCAGGTCAAGCCCATAATACCAGCCAGTTGACACTAGGTATGGAACTGGGGGCCAGCTGGGCTGGCTAGGCTCTAATCCCCAGCAGCATGTGCTGAAACTGGAGGAGGGCTAGGCTGGACCAGGCTACAGCATCCACTGGCAAATTCCAAGATGAGGCAGGTCATAACAGATTGGGCCGCAGCACCCAACCAGCACACGTGAGACCCAGGGTAAAGTGGGCGAACCCAGAAAGGGGGGCTGCCAGGAGATAACCTGCTGGGCCATTATGCCCACCTGTGAGTGGGAGAGTTGCGAGTGGGGGCAGACTAGGCCAGGCGAGGCTACAATACCTGTTCACCTGCATGTAAGCTGGATCAAGGATAAGCCAGGCTGGGCAGACTGTACCTACTGGCACATGCCTAAGCCAGAGGGGGTAAGGGTTGGTTGGGCAGGATCGGACTGGGCTACAATACCTATCAGTTTGCATAGAAGACAAGGCTGGAGACAACTGACCCAGCAACTGCAACTAATAGTGTGCGCATAGGCTGATTTGGGCGATGGACTGTCCTGGAACCTGTATTTGCATGTACTCACAAGAATCAGATCTGGGATCACCTCAGATGATGTTTCTTTGGGAATCCCTTCAACTGAACTGCTGATCTCAGAACCCCAGCCATGAAATAAATTAAAGGTTCTGTGGTCTGACTGTGCAGTGCATGTGTCAGAGCTGTGCCTCATCAGTGGCTTGGACAGAGCAGTAGACAGCATACCAGATGCACATGGAGGATATGGCAGTACACTGGAGCTTGCAGGGGATACCTGGTACCATAACAGAGGATAGAGGACAGAACAAATTGATCAATTACCACAGCCATGTGTTGGCAGTGAATATCAGGGAAAACAGAAATTCTAAGGTGGACTATGTCAGTGGGTGGAGTCTGGAGAGATTTTATCATGATTGGAGTGGCAAGATCAGCAACAATACAGAACTGCTGAACTATCAGAACCACTTGAGAAGGACTCTCTGAACATGCCCCGCATCGGGGACCCTGGGATGGTTGGGAGGCTGGGTGTGGCTTCTCCCCTTGTCTCTTCTCTATCCCCAGACACAGGAAGGAAAAAAGAGAATGGCACTCACTTTCCTAAAGCCCTTGACCCTCTGCACCTTTTATGTAAAAAGTATCAAAAATAAAATTTATACAAAAAATATATAAAATGATTTGTCCAATGTTAGGTAGGGTCAGGATTCAAATGAGGTGTTTTGACTCCAAATCTATTCAAATCCAATGCTTTCTCCTACGTCCCTCTACTACACCATGCCACTTGATTGACTCGCGTGTATTGTTTGCCTGGGATGCTCCCAGATACTGTCCTTTATTTTTTTCAACTGGGATAATAACTCACCTATTTACTACACCCCATAGAAGAATATGTGCAAAGACAAAGCAAGAAGTGTGGAATCTGTATACTCTGAAGCTTTGCTGTTTCTAGGTGCTGGGGTCTGTTTATATATCTCTGGTCAGAGATTAGTTATAACTCCTTTTGCCATTCAGAAAAGCTGAAGATGGCACTGAGGCTGGAAATAGGACAGGTGTCTCAGTGTCGTAGCTTAGGGATCCTCTGGTGCCCAGGGCCTCCTGCTGAGCAGGGAAAGCTGCCAGGGGAAGACAGATGGGGTGTTTCTCCAGTCCCCAACACTACCATGTTAATGGGCTGGCTGTGGTCTCAAGCCCAGCATGCCCACCACTGGATCAGGCAGACGAATGAGGCCAGACTGACATCAGCTACTTTGTCTTTTATCTTTAGAGTGGGGAGGATAGAAGTTGGGGGGCTAGAGTGATCTGAAGGGAATATAAGAAAGGTACCAGGAGATAAAACTAGGAACACAGATTCAGAGTTGCCAATATCCTTCCCTATAAACAAACTATTATCTTCCTTTGAAACACACACACACACACACACACACAGGGAATTTTGTACAGCAGTTAGGATGCCCACATCTAATCAGAATGCCTGGGTGGGAGTCTCAGCTCTGTTTCCAAGTCTAGACTAATGTGCACCTTGGGAGTTTGTGGGAGACCTAGATCTTCAGCTCCACCCATCCCTACCATTGTATCTGGGGTGTGAACCAACAGATGCGAGCCTTTCTGTTAAGCCTCTTGAATTAGAATGTGCATTTGCACACACACACACACACACACACACACACACACACCTATTTTTGCTATATCTATAAAGTTTCTGCTGTACGTCCAAATTTAGGATCCATAATCATACCTGGAACTTATAATCTAGATCTGCCCAGGCCCAAAGAAAAAAAGTAGGTCATTTCTGTTAAGCACCTATTATGCACCAGGCACTGAACACTAAACAACTCTGTGAAATAGCTATCATCCCCATATATGGAAGGGAGAATTAAGGCTTAGAGAGACAAGCTATCTCCAGCACAGAGCCCTAGAATCCTGATGTGTACGACTCCAAAGCCTGTATCTGTCCTTCCCTAGCACACCCCCTTCTAAAGCCAAAAGCTCACAGAAGCTCACAACTGTGGAGCTTCTAAAAGGGTAGTTAGGTAACTCACTTCGGACTCTTTGGTTCCAGACAGTTCATCCAGATAATGAACTCTGACTACTTCTGCGTCAACACAGAATTTCTGGCTTTCCCACTAAGCCTAGTCCAACAGTCAGTCTGGGCCAACTTCTCAAGTCATAAACCTTCACTGCTCACCAGGTCAGCCTTCCTCCTTATCATTAAAATTGACTATCAGGAAATCTTAGCAAAAGTCTCATTAATGCCTCAAAACTGCCATGTGATTTTGAGGCAGCACATTTCCCACGTGGGCATCATCTTCCCTGACTATTGGGGTTGTTGTTCATTTAGTTATTTCTGAAATTCTGTCATTCTAATAATTAGGTTGTAAGGTTATTTTGCAAATGAGCAAGAAAGATAATACAATTTTCCACTTACATCTTGCTGACTTCACGCATATGGTTAGCAATGATAAACAGAGTTGGACAAGTGAAGAGGAAAGATAAAAAAGCTTCTAGGATTCGGCAGCCTCCCACATGAGGTCGTGACTAAATCAACAGAAAGCAGGAACTGCCAGCAAGTTTTACATGGACTAATGGGACTGCTTGCACTGAAATGCTCAAAGGAAAGTTAGATCATCAGGGCCAGAATGCCAGGTCACGAGAATTAGCTCTGACTGCAAAGTGCAAGAGCAGCTCCTAGCTGCCAATTCCAGAACAATCTCTGCGGACCAACTGACCAGAGTTTTTATTTGTTCCATTCTAGAAATGGTTGTAGACTTAAGGGAAAAAATCCTTTCTTATCTCCCTTTAACCTCAGCCAGCCAGTTCATCTGTTGAGCCAGTATTTCTCAAAGCTGACACGGAGAAATTCTTCAGCAATGAATGCAGATACTGACAGGACATAGGGCAAGGGTGGAGAGATAATAAGAATGAGGGCCAGAATTCCTTTGAAACCTCAGGTTAAGTCTTAATTGTACAAATTTTACATTCTACTCCTTAAACCAATGTCTTTATAATTGAAATTAAAATTAATGTATCAAAACATGTAGTACATTACATTTAGCCCTCCCAGAATCTGCCACATACATACCCAGTGGAACTGGACATTGTGGAATTAGTTCAGCTCCATGACAAAAATTTCCAAAAACAGGCCGAAAAACTAAGATCTAGTGGAAGAAAGAATTTGCCTCTGAGAAAAACTTTACTGCTAGGAACTTCTAGGTATAAAGCACCCTGTTTTCTTCTTGTTTTTGCACGTGAGGGCTGCCTAGATTTGATTTCTGTGGAGGGGAGTGCAGATCTGGTCAGTTCAGGAGCCCAGAGCTTTCCTCCTTGCATCCTCCATGCATCAATCTATCTCCGTGAGCAAACCAGTGCTGTCACCGGCCACCTCACACAGCACAATCAGGAAACTGAAGGCTGTAGCATTATGGGAACTGTCAGAAATTACGTGCAAAATGAGGCCCACGAGATCCCTTTCTCAGCTTGGAAGCAGCCGCATCAACCAGCCACACCGCACAACTCGAAGCTCCACGCTGCGTTCAGTCTGTGACTCACACTGCCTGTGCTCCGGTGGCTATCTGCTCTGGAGTGGGAACATGCTCAAGGGGTTCTGAGTCTGGGGAGCAGGACAGTGAGGTCACAGAGGACACACCTGACAAAACACAGAGAAAACTGAGAAACACTATGTGCCCTGATTCAAGCCCCAGCAATATCACTTCCTAGCGATGTGACCTTAAAATGATCTCTTACCCTCTCTTAGGCTCAGTTCTTCACTGGTATATGGGGATAATAATTAGCTATTATTATATATTATAACTATTATATATAACTATTATAAAAATAAAAGGTAAGTGACAAAACACAAGCAGATGGAAGGGTTGCTATTTTTCATGAAAAGTCCTCAAGTCCTAAGCACTTTAGTGAGCCAGGAAAAATTCTTGACTTAATGACTCTCTGAGCTCCAAGACCAATTTCCAGCTACTTATTTAACATTTAATAAAAACAACCAACATTTGAATGTCTGAACTTTATTCGAGGATTAAGTCACAAAATCTCTGAGCTTTCAGTGTGATTATCATTACATAGAGGAAAGAAAAAGCCTGAAGCTAAATGAGCCACTCAAGGTCACGCAGCTAAGTAGCAGGACAGAAACTGAATCCAGGGCTGACTCCAAATCTTACACTCTGTATACCACCCCATGTCACCTGCTCTTCAAGGGTGCTTCTTTCATTCTTTATGAAAAAGAGGTGTATGTGCCTATCTCAGTCTCCATTGGTAAGGAACTCCAGGCTCGTTTAAGGGCAGAGACGGTGTTTGGTAGGTTCTGGGATTCTCCCCAAGACACTGTAGACTTTTCAGTCAATATTGAGTGAGTCAATGAACAGATGAATGAATAGTGCTCTGACACTTAACTTCACCCTATAGCTTCAAGACCTAGAAGAGAGAAGATTACATCTTGAGACTATGGCTTGGGAGAAGCCATGCAGGAAGGTTTTCAAAATGGAATCCATAGTGGTGGCACTGTCCCCTAGTGGTTCCAAGGTAATTCACCATGGAGCACCTTTGGAAGGGTCTCGGGCTTTATAGAGGTAGAAGCAAGTGCTGAACTGTTGTAGTAAAACATGTTCTCTCTCCTCCCTAGCTGTAAGCAAATACACAACCAAGCACAGACACTTCCCTTTCCCAAAATGTGTATGGCTTTCCATTGTTACTGTAGCTAAGGAAGATGTGTTCTCTCTAGTCTGCCTCTTCTCTGGTTGTTGGTCATACGACTGTTGGGTTTCAGGATGGCTCCGGAGCTTTTGTCAGTTCCTCAAAAAAATCCAACTCCTCTTCCGAGGCCCTGGTTCCCCAAGAAAAACCTCCTTGAATGATGGACTCCTCGTGCTTCAAGTTACAGAAGGAGGAAAGAACTCCCATCTTCCTATTTCATACACTGCCATGGATTCCCTCAGAAGGTCCTACGCTCAACTCCTTGTTTGAGCTCAAATCTTTACCCAAATAGTTCTCACCTACCGAATCCCAGCTCTGCTCCTTCCGATCTCACAAAAAGTAACTGCTCTATCCCTCCTATGGCAATCCCTTTAAAGGTCTGAGGATGGAGAACACATCTTCCCTCAGTGTTCTCCAAGATAAACATGAATACTGCAGTGGCAGAAAACTACAGTTGTTTCACCCAAACTGCATTTTGAAATTCCATGTCACAATTTACTAACTCCATGACTCAAGGCAAAACTCTTTCACCTCGCAGAGGCCAGGTGGTGAGGACTTTAGTACTTACAATGAATATTCCTCTGTAGACACGCAATAAATGATGCTTCTCAAGAAAACACTGATCTTTTAGAACAAAAGTCAAGAACTTCCCATCCCCTCTGTGCCCTCTCCCCAACTAGTAAGAAAAACTCAGATTTTCAAGAGCTTTGTCTGGGAAGCAAGAGCTTTCAGAACTCTTACACCCGTCCGGCCAGGGCTCTCAACCATGTGGGTTGCGCCTGGACTGGAGCTCCAGGATCACGTGAGTGGCAGGGAGCCAATTAATTGAGCCATCACTAGTGCTTCCCAGAAGGTAAGTTGCTTTTTCATTAGCTGGATGACATGAGGCCAGAGCCCTTCCATCATGGACACTCCATTTTCTCAGGGTTATCAGTACAGGAATAACTGCACACTCCTGGAACTGTGTGGAGGAGTGCACAGCGCCAGCTAGATAATAAGTTGTCAATAAGTGGCAGAGCCTTTGTGGGGGAGAGGGCGCCTGTGAGATCATCTTAGAAACCCAGGCTCCACTAACTGCCATTCCTTCAATGTCCTCTGCATTATCTGTTTTTGTTTTATTTTCCCATGAACTTGCAAAATCTCCCATTTGCCAGAGAGTGCCTCCTGCCCCTTTCCCACTAAGGGAAACAGAAGTAAAAATAAAGATCTAAAGAGGGGTTGATTTTCGAAGAGTTCTGGATAGAAAGCCCACAAGGGAGAACATGGGTGTGATTAGCAGAATCCTGACCATTTGCATATTTATTAACCACAATGACATGTACTGAATTGTTGTCTAGCACTGTCTTCAGGGACTTCATGAGAGGAGTGGATTGGATGATGCCTTCACCCAATAACCTGACCAGGCAGTTAATACTTACTAGAGGCCTACTGGCTGCCATGCCCAGTGCTGGGCTCTGGCTTAGAACGATCAATGCATCTTGGTCTACCTTCAACAAGAGATCAGCTAATAAAACACTCCCTCTTGTGACCTGCATTGTGAGAACAGCCTTAAATGAGAAAGTACTGGAATATTCTCTGCACTGCAGGGAGTGTGACCAAGGCATATGATGGCAAAGCCATTCCACCTGTTTCTTTCCCCATGCTGCTTTTTTCATTCCAGCCGCATTTGTCTTAATCATCTGAATGGCTGTGTCCCTCCAAATTCATTTGCAGAAGCCTGAACTCCAAGGTTGTAGCAGTAGAATGTGAGGGAAATTAGGCCATGTGGATGGAAAAATGTGATTTTCTGTAATACTGGATTATACATCAATTCGGCACTGACAGTTTCAAAGGGTACAGTGGCAGCCATGTGCAAATACACCACCCCCTAACCAGAGGCTCCCTCGAAAGAAGCTAGTCTTCCAAATGCGAGCGTCCATCCAAGCATCTAGTTTGACTCCACCAGAAGTGCTGGAACACTGCCTAAGCAATAACGGAGGCCCAGGTCCACACGTCTGACGGTTGTGGAAGTCGTGACAGGGGAAGGGTAAAGAAAACTGCTGATTTGGGGATCAGGTTCTCTTGACTGCTTCCTTTCAGGGATACTTGTCCCATGGCCCTTTGAAAGGATGAATCCCTGGGGCCTGTGGTTTAATGTTCAGTTTCCAATTACGAAGCTTTGTTTCTCACACAGATGCCTTACCCTAACTCACATTAGCACTTAGGTAAAAAAGAAAAAAGCCAACACCATATTTTCTCTACAACTTAAAATATATGGTCCACAGACGAGAAGATAGCTGCCTTAATCTGGAAGACCAAAGCATTGCTTTTGTAAAGATAACATGTCTGAAGAACCAAGGATAAAGTTACTCTGAAAAGATCTTCCAAACTGGTAACTATGTTTTATTTTAAAATACACAAATATTTTGAAATGTACAATTTTAAGGCTGTTGATTTTTAAAACTCCACATAAAACTAATGCATCAAAGTCATCAATACGAAATCAAGCAGTGAGATGGGACTATTTTCACATGGCAGTATTCAGGATAAGTGAAAGGAATTATTACCAACCTTGTTTTTTACAAAATGTCACTTGCAATACAACACGCTAATTTCAATGGCAAAATTCTAAACTAAGACGAGAAGTTAATGTTCCACACAAGAAAAAAGAAATATTCTTCTGCTTTAACACTAAGCTCCATACAATCCTGTTACAGCCTCAAAGCTGGGAAAACTTGTCAAATGTCAGAATAGAAAAGAAAGTTGTCTGTCAGGAGCAGAACCTACATCAGAAAAATAGGAATCAAGAAAAGACTGAAAATACTAAACTATATGAATGAGCACCAGCCTGCCTGAAGTCCTTGGGATATCGTTCATGAGCGCCACTGGGTTGGGGAAAACTCTTTCATGTATCTCACAGGAAAAAAACCATTTATGTTTCCACCTCAGAGGAAAAAAGTAGTGCTTACGAAGTCCAGCGCCACCACGCCACCTTCATTCTGTCCCATGCTGCAGAGAACGAATCCAGCGCAGGCCGCACATCCAGGACGGTGAACTGGTAATCTTGGCTGACTGCGCCACCATCGTAGTAGTCAATCACATACCTCACTTCCGTCCCGCAGCGGCTGATGATCCAGTCATGCCTGTCGAAAGGCAACTCGTGCCTGAAATGAAAACAGGTGCACCGCAACGGAAATTTGGAAGACAGTATGGAAGTTTCTCAGGCTGTTTGTTTAGTTTTGCTGAAGAGAATGCTGCCCCTGATATGGGGCAACGTGCTGACACTTACCCCATCCAGGAACGAATTCTTGCCCTCGGCGAATACTCTCTAGCCTTCCCTCCAAACCGTATTAATGAGGGACCACACGGACATTCTCTGGAAATCCACAGTAAGAACAATCTGTTAAGGTCAGACCTTTCCTCTAACGAGGATGAAGTTCTCATCTTATCCTAATACACACTTTTCCACACGTGTCTCACACCATATTGTTTCATCTTCACAAAGTATAACTTCTAAAGTGACTCCAAGAAATAGCCCACACTTTGGAAGGGCCATGCTATAATGCCAGGGCCCCCAAAGCATCTGTGTATAACATTTCAAGTCTAGAAAGGTGGAATGAAGTCAGGATGTTTTCAGAAAAGCTGGAATGAAGTCAGGAAGGTTCTGGAAGAGCCATGTTTTAAGAGCTCAAATACACTTACGCTGCATGAAGGGCTTCCCACTTCAAAATCTCCTTCCAAGCCTGCTCATTATTCTGATTATGAATTTTAATAATATTAGACATATCTTGCTGACTGATATCCTCTTTCTTCCACTTCCAACTAGAAAAGAACCAGGAGGTAAGACAGGATCAATTCATAATGAAAAAATGTGCACCGTGTATTTAGAAGACAATTTGTTAGATATTATCCTTGATGCTCGTCTCCACTGAATTAGACTCATTTCAAGATTTACTCATCATGTTGGAGAAGTATCAATCAAAACTTAACAGACATAGGCTGAAAATAAAGATGAAAGGTTCATCTTCACCTCATTTTAGTGAGGAAAGAAACAAGTGAGACACAAGACTGACTCCAATGCTAAGAAACCATCAGTTTTTAAGCCGACCTTTTCTTCAGTTGGTACTACTTACTAATGAGTCACCTTTCCTAAGCATTTTATATAAAAGTGCTTTGGGTTTTTTCTCCCTGTTTTTTTTTTTTTAAAGATTTATTTTTATTGGAGAGATTGACAGAAAGATCTTCCATCTGCTGGTTCACTCCCCACAAGTGGCTGAGCGAATCCAAAGCCAGGAGCCAGGAGCCAGGAGCTTCCTCTTGGTCTCCCACATGAGTGCAGGTTCCCAAGGCTTTGGGCCATCTTCAAGTGCTGTCCCAGGGCACTAGCAGGGAGATGGACGGGAAGTGGAACAGCCAGGCCACAAATCAGTGCCCATACGGGATCCCGGCATTTTGCAAGGAGAGGATTTGGCCATTAGACCATTAAGCCAGGCTGTTTTCCCCTGGTCTTTAAAAAATGATGACAAACTCTGACAGTTAATTCTATATGTCAACCTAACTGTGTCATGGTGGGGGGAAATTGGAGGTTGAGACATTTGGTCAAATATAATTCTCATTGACTCATAAAAACTTCCTGTATGTTTGGGGGCTAAAACCTCTTGAATAATTGATTCTGAGATAAATCTAGTGAATACATTTGTATTCTAAATAATAAGCTAACTCACTCACCCTTTCCTTAACATTGCATTCCAAAACATCTGTTCGGAAGGATAGACCCACTTTCTCTCTGAATCTGCTCTCGGGATGGATGACTCCTCTCGAACAGTAGATAATGCAAATGGTTGATCTGGGGCCGGTGTTTGGTTAGGCGGTGGCATCTATATAAAATGAGCACATTTTGTTTCTTTTAATTGCCGGTAATATGACATCAAGTAGATATAAATGACATATTTCCTTCCTTTTTGGAAAGCAATGCCTCACACAGAACTCTGTGGGGTAATCGTCTAGATTTTCACTGTGGTTGGAATATCAAATTTCTTTTCAAAAATTAGAGATGATACTGTCTTAGCAGTCTGCCATATATCTTGGGTATCTATAGCTTTTGTAGAGATGCTTTATTGCTACATAAAATGTGCCAGAAAGGATGGATTACCAGGTTGGAAGGGTCTAGGTTCTCCTTGTTCTTGAACTTAGCTCCTGTAACGGGACATTCCACATACTCATATGCACGTTCTTGGTGAGCGGGCACAGAGTCTGTCTTCTCCTGGTTTAGGTTAGATGGTTCCATACTGATTGGACAACCTGAAATAAGGACACAACCCATGTCAACCTGAAATACACATGGCTCTCCAGTGGAGGGGGGCAAGAGAATGGGCACCCATTTTCTAGTTGTAGCATGTTGCCAGCAACACACGCAGTCATCTCAACAGTTGGCAGAGGACAGATAGCTCAAGCTGTGATTTCAGCAAAGGGGCCCACTCAGAGGGCAGCCCCAGCCTCTACTCACTAGATGCCTGTAGTGGCATTTTCTCTTAGTTACAACCAAATAATGTCTTCCCCATTGCCAACTAAGAAGCACTACAGTGCAGGTGGAAATGAATTTAGGGAGCGACAAGTACACACACCCACATTATCTGCCCCAGGACCCTGCAAAATCTCAGTTCACCCTGCCTACCAGCACATCCCTCAGGAGGGGCAACAGAAGGCCAGATCACCTGCGACCCTCCCCACCAATTTATACCATCCTTCCTGCAAAGCCTTCCAGGTGTTATCTTTGGATTTCACTTTATAGAAAAAGGGTCGGTTACCTTTCTTTGTACTTTCATGATTTTTCTCCGCCGGAATAGCCAGAGTCGATGTCCACAGGCCCATGGCTGGAATCAGAATCAACTCCCCAAATTCCCCAGCTGGTGAAGCAAAGGGACAGATTAATGTGGACGCCTGGAACCCACACGTGCCCTCATGATCCTGAGAGACCCCGTCACAGCGAGGGGACACAGAGCTGGCTGCTGAGAGACCCCATCACAGCGAGGGGACAGGAAGCAGGGGGTCTCCCAGGGGCCGTGATCCGGTCAGGGAAGGGCAGCCCCAAGGATCCCCGACGGGCCTCCAGTCCTCACGTAGCGGCAGCCAAGAAATGAGGATTCGAAGAAGGAAAGGATAGCGGCGGAGCGCAGGACGACCGAGGTCCTTCCCGCGATCCCAACCTCCACCTGCCTCAGCCATCTCGCCCTTCCGCACCTGACACCTCGGCCAGGCTGCTCCGAGCGGCCGCCTCGCCTCCAGCAGCCCCTGGGGCCCAGAGGGCAGGACGGACGCCGCCTTCCTTCCCTCAGGTCACTGCTGTCACCACAATCACCTTTGGCACTGGCGCGCGCCGCTACTTCCTCTTTCCGAAAGCGGGAGTTCCGGGCGCGTAGGCCGTGAGGGCCAATGGCTGAGGCGAAAGGGGTGTGGTCACAATGCCGGTCACAGCGAGCCCCGCCCCCGGCCCCGCCCCCAGCCGGGCACCGTTTTCCTCCGGAATCGCTCGCTGACTGGAACTTCAATGTGGTGCTTCTCTGAAGAGTCACACGCTGTTCGCTCTAAGCGGCAGAGGTGAATTTCTCGAGCTTCTTTTGCGTATGTGTGTTTTAAAAGGTTTATTTACTTAAAAGGCAGAGTTACAGACAGGGAGATACTGAGACGTCAGTCCATGCCTTGGGTCCCTCCCCACATGGCCGCCGCAGCCAGAGCTGCACCAGTGCAAAGCCAGGCACTTCTTCCTGATCTCCCACATGGGTGCAGGCTCCCTCCACTGGATCCTAAGGAGAGCATCCTGGACTCGAACCGACACCCGTATGGGATACAGCAGTGACTGTACTGCTGCTCCACAACAGTGGCTCCCCAATGGGTGTTTTTAAATATTGTGCCGTACATTTTAATCATTGCGCTCACTCAAGAAACATCAGTAGATAGCCAGACTTGCTTAATGTGTGTTACTTGACTGTCCAGCTGTTTCTGGCACTCATAGAAGACACATATCAACTGTCCACAGGGTTGCAGTGTCTGTCTCAAAATGCAATACACTAGTTGGAAACTCAGTTAATATGGCTTGCTTTGTAAAGAGAGGTGTGTGTGGGGGTTAACAGCCTGAGAGAGGGAAATTATTTGTGGGTAACAGCCAACTTGTGCAGAGCAATGGTAGGCAGGTTAGGCAAGATGAGGATTGGCTCCTTTGAATAAGGCCAGCTAGGCCTGAGGATATTGGGATTGTCTTCAGGCGTCTGGTACCATGATCCGGGTGGGAGTGACTAGGGCAGATGTCCAGAGACCCTAGTCCACGCCCAGATCATGTCCAGTGGCATGGAAACCTGCAAAGGATGCCAGTTGGGCACATGGACTTAAGAAGCCTCTCAAGAAGGGCACTGGTGGGCTCTAGCTGGGCCAACTCCTCATATTTACTGCAATTCTTTATTCTCTCCTGTAGGTCCCTGGTTTAATTAGAATTTCTGAGATATAACTTCTTAGAGATAATGGCCATATTCCCTCTCCCATCCATCATTCTTTGTTCTTTCCTGTATTTCCCATAATACTGCAACTCAGTTCTCTCACAATTCTCCATAGTCTTCAAAAACCCACTCTTCCCTGCCTTGCATCTCCATGGTTTTCCAAGATTATTTCCCAGAGGAGGCGGTTGTACAGACTAAAGTTCAGAGCACAAGAAGAAAGCATGGCCAGGTGTGAGTTGGAGACCCCAGAAAGGAAAGTCTCCAAGGAAATCTGCAGGTAGCTGTGTATAGTGTTGGTCCTTCATTTAGAAGATCCTACTCTGGAAAACATGTTCTCTCCATTAAGATAATGCTTAGGGAAATCACAGTCTCACCTTGTTTCTTCTAGCAGGATGGACCAGTAACACCTCCAAGGCAGTAGTGTTTATGTACCACCCACAGTATACCAGGTACAATGGTTAAGAGCCAGAGTCTGGGATACTATGGGGGTTTACAACCTAGTCAATGAACTGAAGTATCCTTTGTAGGGCAGGTTTGGAAGAGGCATATTCTTTTAACTTTCCTTTACTGTGGAAGAATTTTATTTCATTTTCAAAGACAGAGGAAAGCGTTGCTGGTACGTTATCCTGGGCTGACAATGTTTTGTTTTTAGAATCTGGAATATGTTGCTCCATTCTCTTCTTGCCTGTAGAGTTTCCTGTGAGAGGCCTCCTGTGAGTTTAATTGGGATTGCTTTATATGTCAACTGATTTTTTTTCACATGCACATTTAAGGATTTCTTCCTTATGCTCATTTGAAGAGAGTTTGATGATCATGTGCCTTGGTGAAGACTGCCTTTGGTCAACCATGTTGGGAGAGTTCTATATCCCTCCTGGATATTGTTTCCCAATTCTTTCTCTAGATTAGGGAAATTTTCCTTTATTATTTTATTAAATACAGCTTTAAACCCAGCTTCTCTCTCTACACCTTCTGGAACTCAAATAACTCATATTTGGCCTAATAACAGTGTCTCTTAATTCTTGAATATGTTTTTTAGCTTGATCCAGCTCTGCTTCCAGCTTTTTGATTGTTTCCCCCTGGTGACAACCAGGAAATATCTTCCAATTTGAGATCCTTTCTTCTGCCTCCTTAATTGTATTGTTGAGACTTTTCACTGAATTTTTAATTTACTGTATTGTGTCCTTCATTTCCAGTAATTCAGCTTGATTTATTTCAGTGTTGCTGTTTCCTGTGTGACATATTCCTTAAGTTCCTTGAACTCCTGCAAATGCTTCTTCGTTAATACGAAGCCTTATAACAAGAGTTTTGAATTCTGTATCCCACATTTTCTCGATGTATTCCTCAGATAGCCCTGAGGTTGGCACAGGCTTTTACTCCTTTGCAGGGGAATCTTCAGTAACATTCATTGTGTCTCTGTCTCTTCTTTTGCTCTTGGTCATTGTACTTCTGGTTAGCAAATTCTTCTCCTTGGGGCAGGTTTCTAAGCTGTGTCACCCAGAGGTCTGCAATTCTTTTTTTGCAGTCATTTGTGTCATTCCCGCCAATGAATTTCAGATCTGGGTTCTTATGTTAGACTTCTACCATGGTCTCTGTAGCCCCAGCCCTGGCTCAGCACTCTACCTCTTGTGATCCCATGCTGAAGCTGTACCAAGTTTTTTCCCCTCCTGGTTTCAGCAGTTCCCAGAATTAGGGAGACACCAGGAAGCTTAAATAGCTAAGTTGTTGGTGGTGTTGATCTTATTGGAACATGCTGGCCATTGGGTCTGAGGGCCACACAGATTTGTTTTGAGTCACAAGATGCAAAATTTGATATTATTTTCTATGTGGAACCAGTGCAATGCACTGACCTCAGTGATTCACTCCCAGCTCAGCACATGCAGAGTTCACTGTTGCCCCTGCAGTCTCAAAGCATTTGTCACACTGTACAAAATGGCACCTGATGTGTCACTGCTGGAGTTCTTGATCTGCTGATCATCAGGTTTGAGGGCTCCCCAGACCTATATTGGGTGAAACCTGTAGGATACCAGGTTGTTGCAATTTACTGAGCCAGAAATGGGTTCACTCCCAGCTCAGTGCATGCACAGTCCTGTCCCATAGCCTTTGCCTCCCTACACAAGATGGCACCCAATTCAGCTCTACTTGGAGTTTGGGCTATGACACACACCTGTTCCTGCACTGCCTGTTTGGGATCTGCTACTCTGTCTTTGCTCTTGGCCAAATCAAACAGACCAGCAAGAAGGGCAGTTCTTTGCGTTCACCTCCTGAGCTCCCAGGGAATGTCGCTTCCCAGCTGGTTGCTGGTGGAGTTCCAGCTGCCAGTGCAATTCAGATTGCCACTGGCTGAATGCTACTGGAATGTCTGGTCACTGCAACACCACCTCGTTGTTTCCACTACTTTCCTGTCCATCAGTCTCCAGGTGCCCCTCTTCCATCAGTCTGCCCTTTCCTATTTCCTGGAATATGCTCTCTCTGCTTCACCCTGGATAATATTTCTCCATCTGTTTAAGCATGTCCTCACCATATTCAGCCATCTTGATTGATCATTATTTTTTTACTATGCCCAATCCCTGTGCCATAAAACCCAAAAATCTGCATGCTGTAAATTTAGATTTGTTATTACAAACATGTGCACTACAGGCACACAATTTCATTGATTGTGGTTAATTTACAAAAGTTACTGTAGAGTGGAGAGAATCTAGTTAACAACCATTTTAATGCTGAAGAAAACCTCTGTATCTGAATGGACTTTTTTTTCCCCCTTTTAATCTAAAATATTTTGGAAATTTGTCTTGTCATTACATGCAATGCAACGAAACTAGGTTCCCTTGGGTGTCTGCCTCCAATCTGAGAGACTTGGATTGAGTTCCAGGGTCTTGGATTGGCTCCATTTCTACCACAGGCTTTTGCATGACCTGGAATCTTTCCCTCCCTAAACAGTTTTTAATTGTTTAAAAGCTAGAAAGGCAATACTAAAATGAATAATCTTGTACTTAAATCACCTCTCACCTTGAACCTATCTATGCAATATCTAGAATTAAAAGGACTCATCAAAGAAAATACACCTTTGAAACTTTGAATGTTGCTAAGAGCATAGATCTCATTTTTCAAGGTTACATCATGTTATTATTAACCATCAGTACTAGACCACACATTAGTGTTGTAGAATACAAGGGGGATTGTACTGGACCCAAGTGTAGGGTGTTAGGGAGAGTCTATTGCCCAAGTTTGGCAATAAACAGCAGCTCCCACTATACTCCAGGAACAACTGCGTCATGTGGCAGAAGTCAGGGGTTTTTAAGCTTTCGTGCTGCAATTAGTTTTAAAGGTGTACAATACAATGTTTTCTCATGCAATATAATACTTCTGATTAACTTCAGTAAGTGGAAGCAGTAAGGGAGGGGCGGGAGACACTGAGGGCTTCTCCCTAAAGATGGAATTAACATTTTGTTACTGTTAGGCCTTACCTTTAGGAATTTTTTTTTGAAAGTATACAATTAGAAATATAAAGAACATTAACATCTTCACTGAATCACCCAAGTAGTGAATAGAGGGTGGGGGAATGCAGTCCACTGTTACGGGGTGCTGGCTATCACTTGCGTACCCCATAGTATTAGCTCTCCAAAACTTATTATTGAAAGCTTATACCTTTGACCAGTATCTCTCCCAACCTCTGGTGATCACATTTATGCTTTCTCTTAGATATCTTTTAATAATTCCACAGAGTAATAAGATCAAGCAGCATTTGATATGATTTAATGTCATGTTTAACAGGTTAGTTCCTGTTTCCATTAATGAGAAGACCTTGAGATTTTGAAGGATGAGCCCCTACACACTCGCACACACACACACAAACACAGACACACACAGACATAGACACACACAGACACACACAGCACTGCTTTTTCTTTTTTGTTTCCATCTGCCTGTTTGGCCCCATTGAAGCACTATGAAAGGGGCTATATTTCTTTGACGTTTAGAGCCATGAAAAGGTCAGAGCTGCAAATCCTGCAGCTATTCATTGGGCGTAACCAATACACTTTTCATGCAAAGAATCATCTTCAGTGTGAGAATGGAAAAAAATAAACTATGGAGGGAAGGACAACCACAATCTAAGTACCTAACAGAAAAGATCTCAGAAATTATCACTGAGTGGCACTACAGATTAACTGTAGTTTTAGATTGAGTGTGCTTTAGTTGAGTCCAAACTGGAATTTGGAATCAGGAACTTCCAAGCTGGGAGAAATTCCTGGATGAGAAACACAGTGCTGGGACAAACTTAACCAAAGTTAGGTTAGGAATTAAGGTTAGGATCAGGGGTTAGAAGTTGGAGTTAGCAATTAAGATTTAAGGGTTAGGAGTTAGGGTTAGCTATAAAAATTAAAGCATATAAATTAAAAACAAATATAAAGAAACAAACTTCAACAAAATAAAAATTTATGCTCAATAAGGGAAAAAATTGATGAAATTAGAAAGGAAAGCAAGGAGCTGGAGAAAATATTAGAAAATCATATATTTGATTAGGAGCATAATACAAAGGCTTATATATTTGAAAGTGAAGATTACAATTTAAAAATGGACAAAGTATTAAATCATTTTTTCAGTAAAGATATACAAAGTAGCCAATGGGTATGTAAAGGAATTCTTAACATTCCTAATCACTGAGAAAATAGAAACCAAGACCTCAGGTTTATCACTTGACATCTGTTAAGATGGCTTTTATCAAAAACAGTGTTTGAAAGAATGGGGGAATAAGAATCATAATCTTTTGGTGTGGCAGCAAATAGCTGTGGTTATTATGAAAACTAGTATGAAAATCGCTTAAATTTTTTAAGACTTTTTTTTATTGAAAGGCAGATTTACAGAGAGAAGGAGAGTCAGAGAAAGATCTTCCATCTGCTAGTTTATTCTTCCAGATTAACCCTAACCCAGCTGCCCACGTGAGAGACCTGATGAGGTTCTGGGCTCTTGGTGCTTCTGTGGAATAAACCAGCAGCTGGAAGATCTCTCTCTTCTCACTGAAACCAAACTGCCTTAAAGTCAAACCAGAGCCCGCCTCTTGTCTGTCTCTTTTAGCCCCAGGTGTCCTTGCCTGTGCTCTGAAGAGAATTCTCATAGTTGTAATCACCAGACTGAAGGAGTCATTGGTTTCTCCAATAGACAGGCACCTTGACGGGCAGTGTGGCCCTGGATGGTTTGCGTTGGTGCATTAAAGGTCTGGGTAGAATTCAACCCCAGGCCAGTGGAGCCCACCTGGGCATCACAGACTCCCTGACATGGAGCATCCCTGAGCAATCAAAGGACGATCACAGGCTCCGACGACCAATCCGGAACGGCCCCAGTTTCACCCTAACTCCCCGGAGAGCCTGGGAATTTGGCATAGTTCTCTGGCTCCTTGCTCTGCACTTTGCAATAAATACCTCCTTTCTTCCACTATCATGGAAGTAATTGCCTTTCTGTGTGGTGGGCGGGCAGACCTAGTCTGGGGAGTCTACAGCGATGTTCACACAGTCTCTGTGGATCTTTGATTCCCTGCTTTTAAAGTATTCGCTGTCCTTTAATAAACAAAAATCAAAACAACCTCCCTTATGAGTTTCTATAAACCACGTTACAACACACCACAAAATGCTTCACAAAATACTAGCGGCAGGTAAGATATTACTACCATTAACACAGTATGCGACCACACCGCATTCCCTCCTGTTTCTCTAAAGCGCACAAGTTTCAGCAGATTTAGAGATAGATACAATGGAGTTTAAGTTTCAGAAGTCTTCCTATTACAGCAATTTGCCCTAAACCAGCATGGCGACAGCAGCTTATTCCAGTTCACAGCCCTGGATACTCTACAGGTTCCTCCCGGAACTGCTGGCTGGGCCAACTCAATGCCTCCGACGCGCGGTGATGACGACAATGCCGCGCGCGCCGCGATGGCGGGCAGCCCGCGCCTTCCGCAGGCGCAGCGCATCCCGGGATGGGCGGAGCCGGTCGGGATGAGTGGCGGAGGAACGGAGACCCCTGTGGGTTGTGAGGGCGCCGCGGCCGTGGGCAGCAAGAAGCGGGACTCGCTGGGGACGGCGGGCTCAGCGCACCTCATCATCAAGGGTACGCAGGCCCAGCGCAGCCCCTCCGCCCGGGGCTGGCTCCCGAGAGCCGGTCGCCGGTCGCTGGGGGTGCCGGGGGTCCCGGGGTGCTGCTCCCCCGTTCCCGGCACCACCGGCTTCCCGGGAACGACCAGCTAGCCCTTCCTCCGGGCTTCCTGGGCGGGAGCCTCCCCAAGGGCCTCGCCCCCCGCGGCTGTCACTTGGGGGTCGCGAGGAGTGAGGGAGGCGACCTCGACGGGTGTGCGGACACCCGCAGTGGGTCCCCTCCCCAAGCTTGCATCAAGGTCTTTGCATGCTGTCAGCTGCAAACCAAAGCTGCGGGAGGGCCTTGCACGCTGTTAACTGCTCCCTCCCTTCCCCAGCGTGCCCGCCCCCTCCAGTCAGGCCTGCCGGGGTGGAATCCTTCGCAGGATTTTAACTGGGCAGGTGTGTGAGCTGCCTCCAGGCTGCTGGTCGAGGCCGGTTTTTAAAGTTTGGGTGAGAAGCGGAAGCACAGCTTGGGTATGAGTGCTAAGTGAAACTTACAGGTGAGTTTAGCGAAGTACCCTTGTAGATGTCTTTCACTTGTAAAATGAGGGTAACACAATTTGGCACCTTAACTGCTTTAGAGTGTGCTGTTCTGCGACTTAAAGTACATTCAGCTTGTACTGCTGTTAGCACGATGCGTCCACAGGATTTTTCCTTCGCCCTGCAAAGCTGTACCCCAGTATTCAGCACTCCTTTGCTGTTCCTGGGCACCCGGGCTCCCACTTGTGTCTTTGACCTGAGTGGAAGCGTGTTTCTTTTTCTTTAAGATTTATTTATTTCTATTGGAAAGTCAGTTATACAGAGAGGAGGAGAGACAGGGAGAAAGAGCTTTCATCCACTGCTTCACTCCTTAAGTGGCCTCAATGGCCGGAGATGAGCTGATCTGAAGCCAGGAGCGTGGAGCCCCTTCCAGGTTTCCCACACAGTTGCAGGGCCCCGAGGCTGTGGGCTGTCCTCAGCTGCTTTCCCGGGCCACAGCAGGGGGCTGGATGGGAAGCAGAACAGCAGTGCCCCTGTGGGATCCCAACACATGTATGGCGAGGATTAGCCACTAGGCTATCGTATCAGGCCCCATTTTATTGTTATTATTTTTTAAGTCAGAGTTACATGGAAAGATGGAGAAACAGAGAGAGACAGAGATTGCACATCTGCTAGTTCACTTCCCAGATGGCCACAATGGCCGAATTAGCCCATCTGACAGGAGCTGGAAGCTTCTTCCTGGTCTCCCACATGGGTGCAGGCGCCCAGAGAACTTGAGCTGTGCTCTGCTAAGTTCCCAATCAATGAGAGGAAGCTGAATTGGAAGTGGAGCAGCCTAGACGAACCAACACCCATAGGGAATGCTGGTGCTAGAAGGTAGAGGATTATCCTGTTGAGCCGCTACTCCTGTCCCTGGAGTAAACCTTTATAAATCTGTTACTCAGTTTTTCCAGGTGACATACATGGTCGTGAGACTCCTAGGTGTACATGTGTTCAACTTTAATAGAAATTGCCAGCTTTTACTCAAAGTAGCTTTAGCAGTCTGAAGCGACAACTGAAGCTGCCCATCGGGAAGGGGAAGAGTAAGACAAACCTGGGATTATGCCACTTAGCGCAGATTAACCTGAATTCCATTGCCTCTCTACAGATCTTGGAGAAATTCATTCACGACTATTGGATCACAGGCCAGTTATCCAGGGTGAAACACGTTATTTTGTAAAAGAATTTGAAGTGAGTATTTAAAGTCATGTTATACGGCTCTAACTGTTGGTTGCAAAAACTATGCATGATCTGATTAGGGTTTCGTGTGTTCATACAATGTACAAAGCAAAAATTATAAAGCAGAAAAGCTTGTTTTTTTAAATTATTTTATTTTGATAATTTTTACATAGTTGATTAGGGCACAAAGGGTCAAGGGCTACAGGAAAGTGGGTAAGACCATTGTTTCCACATTCTCTCTCTCTCATCTCTTTTTTTTCTGTATCCGGGGGTAAAGGCATAGATAAAGGGAGAAGCCCCACCCAATCTCCCACCTATCCCAGGGTTTCCAACATGGGGCATGCTCCGAGGGTCCTGCTTAAGTGGTTTTGATAGTTCAACAGTTCTGAATTGTTTGCCAGTCTCACTATTCTAAGCACGATGAAATCTCTCCAGAATCCACTGGCTGACACAGTCCACCTTAGAGTCTGCCCAGGTTTTCACTGCCAACACGTGGCTGGGACAGATGATTGATTTGTTCTATCCTCTGTCCTCTGTTGTGGTACCAGGTGTCCTCTGTAGGTTCTGATGGACTGCCATATCCTCCATGCATACCTGGATATGTTGTCCACTGCTCTGTCTGAGCCTTGGAGGAGGCTCAGCTTTGACACTTGCACTCCGTGGTCAGACCGTGGAACCTGCACTTCTCTTCATGGTTGGAGTTCTGAGATCAGCAGTTCAGTTGGAGGGATCCCCAAAGAAACTTCGTCTGAAGTGATCCTGGGCCTGATCCTTGTGTGTGCTTGCCAGTATGGGGTCTGGCACAGTCCATTGCCCCAGACAGCTTATGCCTGTGCCGGTGGTTGCAGTTGCTGGGTCAGTTTTGTTTCCAGCCCTGTCTTCTGTACGAACCAGCGGATGTTGGAGTCCAACCTGATCTTGCCCACTACACACATGGCCTTCATGCAAACCAGAGGGAGCTGTAGCCTAGTCGGAGTGACCCACAATAACCCACCAGACCTGCCCCCTGCCCTGGTTCCTGTGCTTGTCAGTATGTGCAGCAGACTAGTCCAGTCTGTTCCACATCCCTTTCAGCTCTCCTACATGTCTGTGGGCATTGAAACCTGGTTCAACCCAACCAGCCCCACTATCCAGCCCACACACATGCTGGCAGGTGCCTTTCTGTCCAGCCACGCCTGCTCCAGTCCTGGTTTTCATGCTCTCCAGTGGAGTGATAACCCAAGAGGGAGGTTGCCCACTATTTCTCTACTGGGCCCACTTCCTCCCAAATCATGCACTCTTCAGGTGGTTCTGCAATTTCACTTGACAGAGTTAGCCAATCTTCCAGCTGATTCATTTTTGTTGGAAAGTCAGGTATACAGAGAGCAGGAGAGACAGAAAGGAAGATCTTCTGTCTGTTGATTCATTCCCCAAGTGGCTATAACAGCCAGAACTGCACTGATCCAAAGCCAGGAGCCAGGACCCTCTTCCAGGTCTCTCATGCAGATACAGAGTCCCAAGGTGTTGGGCTGTCCACTGCTTTCCTAGGTCACAAGCAGGGACCTGGATGGGAAATGGGGCCACCAGGATTAGAACTGGTACCCATGTGAGATCCTGGCACTTGCAAGGCAAGAATTTAGCTGGGCCCAGAAAATCTTCTTTTTAATAGGACTTTTTAATTTATTTTGAACAGTGAAAGAGTAGGTGGCAGGAATCTTGGGTTCCTGCTCTGGTGCCTTCTCTGTAAGAATGGGTGTCTTTTGGCCTCAGCTTTTTAATATATGAAGTGGAAGGTAGTAAAAAATATATGTTATGGAAGTTGATAGTTCTGTTTTCTGGATTTGTTTTCCCTTTTATTTATTTTTTTTTTTCTTACTTGGGGCATCATCTTCCAGTTGAGGCCTCAGTTAAAGCTTGGGACTCAGCACTGGTTATTCCCTTGCTTTTCAAGCCCCATGCAGTAGTCAATTCTTCTGGATGTTACCTGATACATTTCCATTCCTGTGGCTGATGTGCCTGCTTTACCAACTGAGCCAGATTCAGTATTCATCCTGTTGCCAGGGTGATCTACCCTGCTTCCATTTTTTGGAACCCTTACCTAGCTGCCCCCCTCTCAGCCCTTGTTTACACAGCTCCCCCTCTGTGCCTGCGCTGCAGCTGCCCTGGGTCATCACTGCTTCTTGCACTCTGACCTCATTGTACACAGTTTTTCACTTCTTGTGCTTTACTCATGCTTGCCTTCTCTATCCTGATTTGTATTCATTTGCTTTAGATATTTTATTTGCAGGTCAGCTGCAGACACAGAGATCTTTCATCCCCTGGTTTACTCCCCAGATAGCCAGGCTGAAGTCAGGAGCTGCATCTGGCTTCCCACAGGGATGCAGGGCATTTGGGCCAGGTATCACTGCTTTTTCCAGGCCAGCAGGAGAGATTGAAAGTGGAGCAGCTGGGACATAAACAAGTATCCATATGGGATGCCACATTGCAGGTGATGATGACTGTAACGACTACACATCAACACCAACCTCAAGTTAAAACAAGTCAGTATCCTTGAAGCTGTGTTGTGGTGTAGTGTGTTAAGCCACTGCCTGCTACCCCTACATCCCATTTGGGCACTGGTTCAAGTCCATGTACTCTACTTCCAATTCATCTCTGTTAATCATGGGAAAGACATGGAAGATGGCCCCTATCCTTGGGTCCCTGTACCTGTATGTAAAACCCATGTGGAATTCCTGGCTTCTGGCTTCTGCCTGGCCCAACCCTTTCTGTTGTAACCTTAGATGGGGATATGTATCTGTATTATTTCCAGTTCCTTTTCATCATGGTCAAAACAGAAGTAGCCTTATTTAATAAAAGGTACTTTGATTAGAGCAGTGTGGTTTGGCAGGGAGGAGCGGAGGAGCGAAGCTATCAGTCCCCTGGAAGCGTCATCTTTTTTTGTGCCGTTGAAGTGTACTTCACTTTAAGAAAAACTGCCTGCTGTGAAAACCGACATTGTTCACAGAGTGACAAGATTTTTTTTCTGATTTATTTTATTTCAGAGGTAGAGTTAGAGAAAGATTCTGGCCAAAGCCAGGAATGAGCTTTATCAGGGTCTTCCGTGTGAGTGCAGGGGCCCAGACACTTGGGGGCCGTCTTGTGCTCCTTCCCCGGGGGCCTTGGTGGGGAGGTGGATCAGAAGTGAAGCAGCTGGGACACCAGCATGGGTACCAGTGTTGCAGTTATCAGCTTAATGCACTATTCTGCAACGCCGGCTCCCAAGTTAGAACGTTCAGTGTATACGGCAGCAATGACTTTTCTTTGGGGGATGGTATATGTAAAAGGAGTCACAGCATCTTCGGGTTAGCCCCAAAGCACGAGTGATTCATTTGTGTTGATTGTTAGTGTGACATATTTGCCAGATAAAATATTGTCTAGTTGGAACAGGTACTTTTTTAAAAATCTGGGTCTAAAATTTATTAGCTTGCAATGAGGTTTAAGTAAAAGTTTAAGATTTTCTTCCCAGTGGCTGTGTGCTAGAAGGAAAGCACTGAGAAGAATGTGATGATCCGAGAACCCGTTACTGTCTCCCAATACTAACCTTGTTTTAAGTATCTTAAGTGTTCTTATTATTTGTGCTGAAACCAAACAATTTTAAAATGATCTTATTCAAAGAATTATGAAGATGATTCAAAGTTCTAGTTTTCATACTCACCTGTAAAACTTTGCCTTTGTATTTCTAAGTGAGTTTTATATTAAGTTAAACATTTAAATTTATTTAAGAAGCAGTAAAATGAAAGCTAAATCTGATTCCTGGAGTTCCCAATGGCATTGGTTCCAGGAACCGAGGGTGAAGCATGGGGTAACTGGCACTAGGGGTGGTGAAAGAAGGGCATCCCGCATATGTCAAGTGCTCAACAATGTGCAGTGTTTATGCAGTCAGTAACCTGACAACATTCCATGAACGCTTGACCAGTCTACCTGCTGTCCATTACAGAACACCTTGCTTATATCAATCTACTTAAGGTGTTGCTGTTAACAGTTACTGTATTGTTGTCATCTAAGTGTTATTTACATTGTTTATTCTTTAAAAGGAATGTTTATGCTAATAACTAATACGTAATTCATAGTTAAGTAGTGCCGTAATCTGGATTTCTTCTGTGAAATACTTTTATTATGCTTTCATACACATACAGAACGGTTATTAGCTTTGAAACTTGTGCACTGTCCTAATATAAAAGTGAAAAAAAAATGAATATAGTTAAAAGAAAAGGAGTAAGTCCTTGCCACATGATGGCAGCATTACTTAAGTAACTGAAGTAGTGCTAGCCTATTTTACACTCTTGCTCTGTTCACATTTAAGTAACACTGACTCTCTCCCGGCTTTATGGAGAATCTTGGCCCTTGATTCCAGAAAATGTAAAGATCAGAGCTGCAGCACCATCCCACCTTGTGGGAAGAGCCCTTGCAGTGCCCAATGCCGGAGTCCAGCTCCAGCTGAGTTAGGAGCTCGGGAAGGGTGCGTGGAGTTGGCGATAAAGACACAGACACTGTCACTTGGTGCCTTCTTGCTGCCTCCTCGCTCAAGAACAAGCTGTCCTTTTTATTTGCTCAGACACATCACAAGTCTCTGCACAAACATTTAATTTTACTATCTTTAACTTCAGAACTAAGCCAGCATGCACAGATGTTCAATTAATTTTTACTTCATGGTCAACCAGGTGCCCTTAAAGATAATTCCGTAAGTTACTATAATCAGTTTCTTTAAAGCAAGCCGTTATTCATTCTTCAGAAGTAGCCATTAGGTGACAGCCAGAACTCCAAGGCCAAGGCACAGATGGTTACCTACTAATTAGTAAAACATTCCTACTACATTTTATTTTCACAACTTTATCTATCACTTAATGGGAGAAATACATCAAAACAGAAAAAACATAAGGATCTAAGACAAAAAGTTTCAAACATTAAATCCCCCTACAACTGCAGGCTCTACAACCTCATAAGCAATCAAACAATAATCAAAAGTATATCTCTATGTTAATAGAATTGTCCTATATTTCCTCTAGTTAAAAAGTTATGAAAGTGGTTAAAACAGCTACATTTTCTATGTTTTAAAGAATTGCAAGGACAGGCTAACCTTTAAGGTCACAATAACTATATTTTTGCCATAGCAGTTTCAGCTCTCACTCCCATCACTTGCATTAATATTTAGAATATTTATCAAGCCCTTTCCCAGAAGGTGTGCTACATGTCTGGGACAGATTCTGAGGCAATGGTTAAGTACCCAATAAGGTGTCCAGAAATGGCACGGGCTTAATTGTGCTCCTGCATGTAAATTGTCAAAGGCCCACTCACCAAGACATTATCAGTGACATTAACTCTCAAGCTCACATTAGTTGCGAAAGCCATCTCACGGGGGCAAACAACAATGCCTCAATAGATTACAGAATTCTTAGCAGGGTGCTTGAGTGTCCATGCAAATGGGGGTGAGACCATGTCAAGGTGGTCATAGAGAAATCCGCCAGGCCCTGCCAAATATCTGGAAGCTCCCCCGGGCCCTGCCAAGCAGGGAGCTGTTCTCTTCACACCTTCATGCAATCCACACCTACTGCACGGATCCCAGCACCTATCAGTGTGGCAGTAGCCATGGAAGGGGTTGGTTGTGCTGCCACTGCCTGTCCAGATACAGGGGGCATGCCCCAGCCTTCCTTACAGGGAGCAGAGAGACCAGTGCTGATAAGGGCCTGTAGTCAGTCAGCCAGTGCTGATAAGGGCCTGTAGTCAGTCAGCCAGTGTTGATAAGGGCCTGCAGAGTCAGTCAGCCAGTGCTGATAAGGGCCTGTAGAGTCAGTCAGCCAGTGCTGATAAGGGCCTGCAGAGTCAGTCAGCCAGTGCTGATAAGGGCCTGCAGAGTCAGTCAGCCAGTGCTGGTAAGGGCCTGTAGTCAGTCAGCCAGTGCTGATGAAGGGCCTACAGAAGGAGTAGCCCTGTACAACAGGTTCTTGTGTAGTTTTTCATTTGACAAGCTCCCTTCAGTGTTTCTTTGATTAGATAATACCTGGAGGAGAACCAGGAAGGAACATATTTGGTAACTGAAAGTACCTGAAAACATGTGAGTTGAACAAGTGCTCATTTCTCTCTGTCTCTCTGAGAAATAAAGTTCTACTTTAAACTTTTATTTGGTAATCTCTGGAGCTTACCAGTTTACAAACCAATTTTTTTTTAAGATTTATTTATTTTTATTGGAAAGGCAGATTTACAGAGAGGAGAGTCATGGAAACATATTCCATCTGCTGATTCAATCCCCAAATGTCTGCAACCAGCCAGAGTTGAGCTGATCCAAACCAGAGAGCTTGATTATCATGTCTTGGTGAAGGTTACTTTTAGTCAGCCGTGTTGGGAGTTCTGTGCCCCTCTTGGATGTTGTTTTCCAGTTCTTTTTCTAGATTAGGGAATTTTTTCCTTGTTATTTCATTAAATACATTAAAAAAAATTTTTTTATTGGAAAGACAGATATTCAGAGAGGAGGAGAGACGGAGAGAAAGATCTTCTATCCGATGGTTCACTCCCCAAGTGGCCGCTATCACGCCAGGCCCATTAAACACATTTTTAAGCCCAGCTTCTCTTTCTGCACCTTCTGGGACTCCCATAACTTATATTTGGCCCTTTAATGGTGTCTTTCAGTTCTTGTATATATTTTTTAGCTTGACTCAGCTCTGCTTCTAGCATTTTCTTTGTTTCCCTTGATGACAGGAAGTATCTTTAATTCTGAGATTCTTTTTTCTACTTCCTTCATTCTATTTTGGTGACTCTCCACGGTACTTTTAACTTGCTCCACTGTATTGTTAATTTCTGATATATCAGCTTTTTTTAATTCAATTCCTGTGTGACATGTTCCTTAAATTTCTTGAACTCCTGTATTACATACTTCTTGTTAATAAGAAGCTTTATAACAAGTGTTTTAAATTCAGTATCCCCATTTTCTCAGTGTATTCCTCCATTAACTCTGAGGTTGGCAAAGGTTTTGCTCCTTTGTAAGGGAGTCTTTAGTAATGTTCATTGTGCCTTTGTCTCCTCTTTTGCTCTTAATCTGTAGTTCTAGTTATCAGATTCTTCTCCTTGGTGCAGGTTTCTAAGCTGTGTCATCCACAGGTCTACAATTCAGTTTTACTTATTGCAGTTGGTACATGGCTTTTACAGTTACTTGTGCAAATTCCTCCAGCAAGTTCCAGGTCTGCATTTTTTTTATGATTTATTTTATTTTTATTGGAACGTTAAATATACAGAGAGAAGGATAGGCAGAGAGGAAGATTTTCTATCCGTTGGATCACTCCCCAAGCAGCCGCAATGACTGGAACTGAGCCAGTCCAAAGCCAGGAGCCCGGAGCCTCTTCCAGGTCTCCCACGCTGGTGTAGGGTCCCAAGGCTTTGGGCCATCCTCCACTGCTTTCCTAGACCACAAGAAGGGAGCTGGACAGGAAGAAGGGCTGCTGGAATTAGAACCAGTGCCCATATGGGATCCCGGTGTGTGTGAGGTGAAGACTTTAGCCGCTAGGCTGCTGTTCCGTGTTCAGGTCTGGCCACATTTGCAAATACTAAGAAACTGATGTTGGTGCATTGCTAGTAAGGAGACACTGGCCTTGATGTGCGTTTCACCAGACTCCATTGCAGTCCTCCTCTTTCTGTTCCGAGATCTAATGCAGGGCACCGTGTTACATTTAGTTGTCATGTCTGCCTAGTCACTTTTGATCTGTGACAGTGTCTGATTTTCCTGACCTTGATGGTCTGTAGTGCTGGCCACACGTCCTGTCCCCCAAGCTGTATTTGTCCGTTTTTCTCTTGATTCCATTGTGTTTAGCAGTTTGGAGGAGTCTGTCACAGTAGTGACATTACAACAGGAAACATTTGCTTGTCATGACACCACCGGCAATGTGAGCCTGCCTTGCATGGTTGAGGTCATATTTGCTAGGTTTTTCTGCTGTAAAGTTAAATTTTTTCGGAAGGAAATCATTAAGTCTAGCCACACTCAAGGTGGACAGTGGCATGGCTAGCCCATTTTGGAGGGAAGTTGTGTTGGGGTCGCCCAAAAGAGCAACCCTAGATTTCAATGATTGACTGAAAGAGCTCATGAGACTCAACATATGATCATAATCATGACTAAGCTGTATTGTGGCTGAAGTCAGCAACAGGAACAGATTCTTGGGAGGAGTCTAAGGAGATGAAGCCGTAGCTTCTGAAATCCTTAGTGGAGTCGCTTAGCGTGTACTGCTTTTGTCAAGGAGCTCTGCTGAGCCTAGCTCTCCCAGGTTTTCCTGAAGACTAGTCTAGCAGTTATCATCTGCCTAACCAGTATTAAGATTCTGCACTCCAGGGCTGGCATGGTCCCATAGCTTGTAGCAAGCCTGAAAAAGCAGCAAAGGATAGCTCAGGTCCTTGGACCCCTGCACCCACATCGGAGGTCCACAGGAATTTCCTGACTCTTGGCTCTGAATTGGCTCGGTTCTGGCTGTAGCAGCCATTTGGGACGTGAGCCATTCAGTGGAGGACCTCTCTCTGTCTGCTACTCTCTCTGTAGACCTTCACTTCAGATAGATAGATAAATAGGATAGACAGGATAAATTCCAGACTCCCAGAAACAGAGTATGAAGCACATTGTTCCACAAACATCTTTTTAATCTAGTGTAGGAAAGCGTTTCGCAGTCAGGTTCCCTGCAGGCCCTGTCGGGGCTGGCCTTCAGGACAAGCGCCCTGTCGGGGCTGGCCCTCGGGACAAGCACCCTTAGGCTCTCAGTGGTATTTTCTGTATGGAGAAATATCTACACATTGTGGCTTTTACTAATTTTGAGAGAAGAAAAGAACCAGGTTAAAAAATATATCATGCATTAATAGGAATTATATGATGGCAAGAATGACAAAATGAAAATCAGATCAAAGACGACTGATTTCTTTTTAATGTAAAAATTGACGATCCGGACCTCCTATTTTGTATTTCTTCTGCCCATTTTACAATATTGCAACTTTTGGCACATGTCATAGTAAAAATGCCTTCCGGTTGTGACTTCATTTATTAACAATTAGAAGGTTGTGTAAATTTTGCTAGTAGGTAATAACATAACGAGCAATACCTGGGTGGAAATTTCAAATTACGAAGACTTCAGACACAATATGTACAAGCCATTTGCTTTCTTTTAATAGGAAAAACGTGGTCTTCGAGAAATGAGAGTTCTTGAAAATTTGAAGAATGTGATCCATGAAACAAATGAACACACTCTTCCCAAATGTAGAGAAGCAATGCAAGACAACTTAGAGCAAGTCTTCCAGAGATGTAAGCCCGTGGTCTCCTTTACGTTGCTTTTCATTTCGAGTAAATAGTGTGACAAACTGTTTGTTCAGGTCTTCTGCTGGGATGTGGAGTGGGCATACAGGAGGGAGGCTCATCCCAGAAGTGGCCGGGGATGAATGTGCTGCCCTTGGTGGTGGGAGTGGTAACCCCCAAAGGGCGTGGGTTCTGCAGGTGCAGTGCGATATGAGAAGTTTGAAGCATACTTTAATCTTGTTTTTCTCTTTAGTTCTATCTATAAGTTTTTCCCAGGTCTCCCATGTCTGTGCAGGGGCCCAAGCACTTAGGCTATCCTCCACTGCTTTGCCAGGTGCTGAGGATGAACTGAGTTGGAAGTGGAACAACTGGAGCATGAACTGGTGCTCTGTGGTGGCGCTGAGGGTAGAGGTTTAGCCTACAAAACACAGTGCCTATGAAAAATATCATAATGTGGAGGGATAACTGACCAACAAGAATATTTATTAATATTGTTATAATATTACTACTATTTAGTATTATTAATATAATCAATTAGTTAATTATTGATATTAATATTCCTTAACATGCAAGAAACTCCATTAGTAGTTTTCTAAAATTGACAAGTCAGAAACTTGACTTCTTAGATACATGTTGAGAATATTTAGCTTGTCTGGGGAGAGAGATCATCGGTACACAATGATGGATTATTGAAACACAAGATGGAAAACTTTCTGGGGAAAGAAAAATGCAGTAAAACTGATGGATAGAGAGACCTTGGGTCATCAGTGAGTTGAATAAGGCTCTATGTGACACTTCACGTTAAGTCCTGTGGATTCTAAAGCTACAAGAAAATTGGGAAGGGTAAACTACAAATTCACATTTGTTTTTGTTGAGGGGAACAGCAGAAAGTCTAACACTGATGGTAGATGTTTGCATTTTACTGTAACATGTCCTTCTTCACTCATCATAACCCTGGTTAACATCCGATGTTAAGGGCCCGGCGCGGTGGCGCAAGTGGTTAAGTCCTCGCCTTGCACGCCCGGGATCCCATATGGGCGCCGGTTCTAATCCTGGCAGCCCCGCTTCCCTTCCAGCTCCCTGCCTGTGGCCCGGGAAAGCAGTCGAGGACGGCCCAAGGCTTTGGGAACCTGCACCCGCGTGGGAGACCCGGAAGAGGCTCCTGGCTTCGGATCGGCATTGTATTGGCCCGTTGCGCTCACTTGGGGAGTGAATCATCGGATGGAAGATCTTCCTCTCTGTATCTCCTCTCTGTATATCTGCCTTTCTAATAAAAAATAATAAAAATAAATCTTTAAAAAAAAAAACATCCGATGTTAAAAAGAAAACCTCAGTTATCTTGAATGGGGATTAGAGGAGAGTTAGACAGTGGGTTGATCTTTCGCTCTTTTATATATATATATACTATCTGCTCTTTGTAACTCTGCCTTTAAAAACTTTTTAGAAATATTTGTTTACAAGCATTCAATTTGTTCCTGTTTTCTTTTTCTTCATTTGAGTTTTTAAAAATAAATTGAATGAATCTCGGTTATTTTGAAACAGTCGTTCTTGATCTAGAGTTATTTCTGATGTGGTTGTCAAGCCTTTTAAAAGTCTAGTCTTGGGCTGGTATTATGGTATAACAGATAAGGCTATTACCTGCAGTGCCAGCATTCCATGTGGGCACCAGCTCATGTCCTGGCTGCTCCACTTCTGTTCTTGCTCCCTGCTAATAGCTTGAGAAAGCAGCAGAAGATAGCCCAAGTGTCTGGGTCTCCCACCCGGGAGAACAGATCTGAAAGAAGTACCTGGTTGCTGGCTTTGGCCCGGCCCAGCCCTGGCTGTTGCAGCCGTCTGGCAAGTGAACCAGCTGATGGAAAATCTCTCCATCTTCTATAATTCTTTCCGATAGATAAATAAGTCTTAGAAAACAAACAAAAACAAATAAATTTTCATAATTAGTAAGCTGCAACTCTTGTAAGTGATATCAGTCATTTATCCCTTAAGAGCTGAGGGTCCTGGGAATGAACTCTGTCAGTGTAGGCTTTTTTCCATTGCTAACTGAAGAAAGATGAGTTTCCTTTAGCAATGGCTCAATGGGCTAATCCTCTGTGTTCAGATGCCAGCATCCCATATGAGCACAGGTTTGTGTCCCTGCTCTCCCTATTTGGGGCCTGGGTAAGTAGTAGAGTGTGGCCCAAGTGCTTGAGTCCCAGCACATCCAATGTGGGAGACCCAGAAGACATTCCTGGCTCCTGGCTTTGGATCAGCTCAGCTGCGGCCATTGTGGCCATTTGGGGAGTGAACCAGCAGGTCAAAGATCTTTCTCTGTCTTCTTCTGTGTCTTTTCTAACAAGAAGAAAAATAAATCTTTAAAAAATATTGTATTTATTTTAAAGGTTTTAAAATATTTATTTATTTGAAAGGTAGAGTTACAGAGGGGGCGAGATGGAGAGAGAGATCTCCCAAGTACTGATTTATGCCCATCATGACCCCAAGGGCTAGAGCTGGGCTGATCTGCAGCCAAGAGCCTGGAGCTTCATCCAGGTCTTTCATATGGGTGCAGGAGCACAAGCTCTGGGGCCTTCCTCTGCTGCTTTCCTAGGTTGTTAGCAAGGAGCTAGCAAGGAAGTGGAGCAGCTGGGACTTGAACTACAGCCCAAATGTGATGCTGATGGTATAGGCGATGGCTTTACCTACTGCTGCTCAGTGCCTGCCTTGCTTCAAAGGTTTTTAAGACTAGGAAATAAAAAGAAATCAGAAGAAACAAAATCAGGACTCTAAGATGAAGGCCTAAAGATTTTCCGTTAAAAATCTCATTCATTTGATGAGAAGAAAGAACAGGGGCCATGTTGGGTGGTTCATGTAAAGTCCTTTGGGAAGCTTGCTTATGTACTTTTCTGCTAAAACTTGGCTCACTTTCTCACAACACTGTTGCAATCAGATCTTATTCTTTGGCCTTTTAGAAAGTCAACAAGCAAAATGCCTAGAGCATCTCAAAATCTGATTGCCATGATCTTTCTTTGTGGCTGGTCCGCTTTTACTTTGGATCATGTCCACCTCTTGGTAGCCATTGCTTTGATTGTGCTTTTTATTTGCTCTTAAAAATCTTTGAAGAATATTTTAGGATCTGAGTCCTGCTTGAAAATGTCCATTAAAAGCTTTGTCCTGGCCTGAGGCGGTTGACGGACATGTCAGTTCTGGCACCTGTGAAGCAGGAATTTTGTGCCACTTTGATTTTCAGTCCGAATTGTGTCAGCTGAAGCAGCCGAGATGTCTCTGGTGTTGGCTATGTTTTACATGGTTAATCATTACTCCTTTTGGTCACAGCATATGCAAGATTGTTTTTCTCACAAATTCAGGTGGGTGGTATACCCTGAGAGCTTACTCTTAACATCATCTCATTTCTTCTTGAAAACAATTGCATGTTTGTGAATTGGCAGTTTCTTTGGAAAATTGTCCCAGTAAACTTTTCATGAAGTTTCAGTGATCTCCCTGTTCTTCCACCTAAATTTCACTGTCGATGTGGTATTTGTTCTTGCTTTGGTTTTATCAGAATTGATCTGACAGTGGCTTCTTTCAAACTAGTGCCTGCATGCCTCATGTTAGATTGTGTTCAGATGTGTTATAACAAGTTAGTGTGAGTTTATTTTGGTACAAAATCATTATTTTTCAAAATTTTGCTTTTATTTGTTTGAAAGGCATAGGGTCAGACAGAGGAAAGACTGAGAAATCTTCTAGCTGCTGGTTGATTTCCCAGTTGCCTCACCTGCTGGAAGTAGGCCAGCCCGGAGCCAGGAACTTGGAACTCAATCCTGGTCTCCCGTGTGGGTGCCAGGTGCCCAGATACTGTGCCATCCTCTGCTGCTTTCCCACGTACATTAGCAGGGAACTGGGTTGAAGTGGAACAGATGGAAACTGAACCCTTGCTGCGATAGGTGAGCCTGGTGTCACAGGTCCCTCCTGTGTCACAGTGTCCCTACAAGATCATTCCAAGAAAAAGAATTAGAAAATGTCACATTGCCATTGTTTGCTTATTTATATTATAGATTAGTTGTCCAGATTGTTAGTTAATGCCTTGCCAGGGGAGAAGGAAAGTCAAGAACTTGCATAACCTCTTGCCTGTCTTCCCTACACTCTCACTTGTGAATTTAACTTCATCAGGACTTAGAATATTTCTTTTTTCTGTTTCACAACTATGATTATCCTACTTGTTTAATTTTACTACTGTGTTTTTAGTCTATTTCTGATTTACTTGCTACATTTGTAATTGTGTTGATTTTTCTTTGTTTAGTTTTGTAATCTCATTTTTGTTTCTGTATTTTATCATCCCATGTTTGATCTCTTATTAAACTCTTGTTATCTTGTATTGTAAAAAGACCTATAGGATTTTATTAGATACTCTGTCAGAATTGATTCTTTATATGCCTCCTTTTTAAAATAAATATTTACTTATTTATTTGATAGGCAAAGTGAGTGAGAGAGAACAGAGAGAAAGAGATGTTGCATCCACTGGTTCATCCCAGATGACTCAATGGCTAGCACTGGGCCAGACTAGAGCCAGGCACCTGGAGCTTTGTTTGAGTCTCCAAATGTGTAGCAGAGGCCCCAGCACTTGAACCATCTTTTAACCAGTTTCCCAGACACATTAGTAGGGAGTTGGATGGAAAGTGGAGCAGCCAGACTCCAGCTGACACTCACATGAGGGCTGGCATCTCAGGCAGCAGCTGACTCACGGTCCATGACACCAACCGCTTGGATGTTCTGTATGTCTTCTCTGTCTTTCATAAATGAGGACCTTTGAACAGTTGGTCAAAAAGATGTTTATTTTCATGCCAAAAAGTTTGAAATCCATGCATAGTCTTTATTATACAGGTTTTCTGTGGACTTTTACAAGACCCCCCAGTATTCTTTTCTTTCCCCATTGTCTCCATCTTTTTTGTACAAGTTAAAATATATTAAAGTCCTAATATTTTTTAGCTTGATTTCGATTCCTTGCTTTAGTTTTGTGGGGGTGGTACATTGGCAAT